TCATTCATTAAAAAGTTATTAACAAAATAAGATTTATAAATAGAACACAAAATTCACCCCATCCTCCTGTTTACAGAAAGAAATTTCGTTATTTTCAACATTTACCGATAGTTTTTATGGTGACGGTTACGCGTACAGAAAAAACAACGGCTTAATTCGAGTCCTGTGCCATACATGCTGGTTTTATTCTAATCGTTTTCGGTACGTAAGCGCAACTCGCAAGTTCGTTTCGTAAGTAGAAATCTTCTAATAAGAGTCTGGATATGAGGAAATCACTTTTGATTAGTCTACCATGTTTTAACAATTCTTGATAGAAAGAAAAAAAAGTAGAAAAAATAGAACAAAACGAGATAGAGAAAGAAATGATAAATATATGTCCTCCTCTCTCGCCGATTTCATTAAAACTACTACCTTACGTACAAAACTGCAGCTCGTGTGTACAAACTCTTATTAGAGAGTTCCTGGTAAGTAGACATTATATTCGAGGTATCGAATCGATCGTGACGTATGAATGACAATTATACTTAATCTACATACAGAATATTGCCGCAGAATTTAACTAATTGACTAATAAAACCATTTACTTTCTACTTTCCAAAATATATAAAATGATAGAATATAATGTCTATAAGGACCATACATTGGATGTTTGTATGTTAATTCAGTTTATTACTTGAAATAAATATAAGTAAACGTTTTGACCTTAAATTTGGGTTATTTTCAACACAATTAAATCGAACGCATATTAAAGATCACAAAATTCGCAAACATAGGGAGATCTTGCCAATGTACAGTAGTATGGAAAATTGTTAATAAATTTGAAAAATAGGTAATGATATCCCGTCGATATTTGTTCAAATGTTAAATTGTCTTTAAAAAGAATGAATAATATGTATATGTAAACTATAATATAAAGATGTGGTTCTCTTTAATGAATAATGTAACATCCAGAAAATTAAGATAATCTCCATCAATCTCAATAGTGAATTTAAGTCTCGGATAGTAAGCATTAAAGGCTTCCAACAGATCTTTTGTTTACGTCTATTAAGCTGGCACAGCCACTTCAGCACAATCAAACGCGACCTATACCACATTTTTTTGCTATTTTTTGCTAATTTTTTGCTCTATTCCCGATTTTTTTGCTCCAGCCGATTCGCTAAAACCCATGGCTGTGCTAGCTTAAGA